AGGCCTCTCTCATCTTTTTAAGTGGGAGAACTTGCACAATTGGTGGCTGACTAAATACTTTTTTGCCCCACTGTATGATGTGATATGGAGGCTCAAGCATTGAAAGGAAAGGTGAAAAAACCCTGACAGATCTTTGAATGTCAACATTTATCTACAGATAAAAAACTGAGGCATGGAGATAGCTACTTGGCATTTATCTACAGATAAAAAACTGAGGCATGGAGATAGCTACTTGGCTTTTGCCCTCCAGGACCTTAGCTCAACTTTTTCTATCTTTTCTTAATATAAACAACACATTAAAAAAAAGTTATCTAACCAAGCAACTCATTCAGCATGCAGAGATGAACAATCCTTTGGCATGGCAACTGTTACCCACACAAAAGGAATGTCGCCATTTTTATTTCAAGAGGTAGAATGGGATTCTTCACCACCAAATGGGTAAGACGCAAGATTGGAAATAATTTTCAGCTGTTCCTACAAACTTCTTTGCTGAAATGAAAAATACTACTCACCAGAGGTCAATTATCTGCTGGAATAGTTTATTTTGCTGCTGGGTTAGGAAAGCATACAGCTGCTTCCTTCTTTTTCCTGCTTCCACAGCAGAAATTGAGGCAGCCAACTGGGGGATGGGGGAGAGAATCTTTCCTGCAAACTCCCAAAGAAATTCTTGGATGAAACCAAAAGTGACATTAACTGTTGTCTCTCTAACTGCAAAATTTTGGAAGTATTTTTTCATTGTAAAGATACAACGTAAGGGGATATACCTATCTCCAAGTTTTTTAAATGTAGATAGTTATCATAGAGGATAAATATACATGCTTCCGGCCAACTAGTCTTAAATAAATAATAAAAGGGCAGCTTCACTTTTTTTTTTTATCTTTATGTAGAATTCCAAAAGGAAGACAATTCTCCCAACCTTCTGCAATCGTTTGGGAGGGAAGCATGGGTACCAGAAGTAGTAGTGGAATGATTAAAAATTGAGCTCCACCCACTAATCCTCGTCTGCTAATGGCAGCTGTCTGTCCATGGAGAGACACTAGCTAGATTCTGCCATTCTCTTGGGCCAATTTAAATGCCTCAGCAGATAAGAGCTTTGGAAGAAGTAGTGGGGCCTCAGCAGTTTGCTTGCCAGCACTGCAGTTTGAGGCTTTCAAACATCGACTCTAATCCAAATTAGTAGGAATTTCAGAAAAGCAGTTTGGCCAAGTCACAGCTGGAATGATTTTTGTCATCCCTTTGCCAAATATAAGAAATACAAGTGTTAAAAATAAGAGACAGCAGAAGACTCTTGGCACTAGTAGTAGGTTCTTTAAAAAAAAAACTGATTTGAAATCCTGACTTAATTATGAAACATTCCATATTTTTGTCTATTCCATAATTTTCATACACTGGTGCAAATATCATTAAATTCCTCCCCCTCTCTTTTAAAAGATGAATATTAGGTTTTGTAAATCCAACTGCCTTTAAATTTTTGGCAGGTCATTCCCTGGTCAAAATTGGTGTAGTTAACAAGTTCAAGCTGAGATTTGTCACAATAATTCTGGGAAACACCAATATTCTGAAAATATATTAGAAAAAATTCTAAATGTCTAATCTAATGAATAATCAACCCTTACTGATTCCATACCTAGGAATACTATAAAAATTATGTTCAAATTTAAAACTGTAGAAATATTATGTGCTACTCAAGTGATCTCTACTTGAAAGCCACCTTGCCTTAAGGATAATTTCTCATTTTCAACATATTTGATAAAGTAGACTTTGGCTTCATACATTTTAAAATGGTTCACCTGGGGATTATTGTCAAGCTATTTAGATATTGGTTTGTTCAGTGGTGCCTCCCTATCAACATTAAAGGACCCTCCCGTTTGATTTTACTTCAGTAGTAGGCAGTAGCAGGTTTCCTCTCCATCCTATTCCAAAAATGCCATAAGTGCAACATCAAATGGGAGAATTAGCAGTGTAGCTACAGCTTTTAACCAGTGTGCTCCACAACTTACACTCCAACACTATTATGCAGAGCATCCTGAAGCTTCTGCTCTCTTAATGACTCCAATTCATTTTTCTTTATTGTTCCTGTATGGAACATATAAACAATGCTACATCCCTCTCTCCTTTCTCTCATCGTCTAACCTTACAAATTAATCATTTAGTCGTCAGGCCAAAATCTGAATACATATATATATTTAAAGCATATTTTACTGTTCTTCTGCTGGAACATACAACCAGAATAAAAACTAGTAATTATATAACTCATGCTCTTGGGCTTATCCTTTCAGAAATGGAGAACCTGGTGCTCTTCAGATGTATGGGCCTTTAACCTGCATTAGCTAGCATGACTAATACCAAATGATTGTGGCTGTTGTTGTCTAAACTGTTCCCTGCTTTAAAAAATACAAGCCATATGAGAATAGAAAGGAAAGGGGAAGGGGAAGGTGAGGGCTTGTTCTCAAGTTTGCCTCCCATTTCTTTCTCTGCCTTTTTGGCCCATTCTTTGTTTGGCAAATTGTGGATGAAGTGCCCTGAAACAGAAAGATGTTACATGCAACTGTCAAGGTCAAAGATCTTTCTCTGCAGTGGTCTGTCAGCTGCCCAGCTTAGGCATGTAAACCCTTGCAGAGCAAAGGGGAAAAAATT